AAAAAAAAGAAGCTGAGTGGCTGAGTTCTTCAATGCATTAGTTGTAGAAGATCACGTCCATTCCCTCACGATGAACATTAGCATGTCCTCACCTGGAACTCGCATGTACTCGCCAGGAATAGGGTCACGAAGAAGCATGCGGAGGCACAAGCAGGACGCGTCTCATCTCTTACTGCAGACTATATACTGCGTTCTGGTGTTATCCAGCCTCATGACCTCGAGCCAGAGTTAGACTCTGAGGAGATGGTCCGATGGTCTTCAAGGACAGAAGCTTCTAGTGATATGCACCTTGCATCACCTTGCAACCTCGCACGTTCTTTCAGCTTTTGTTAGCCTTTTGGGCTCCACATGTGTGTCATTGCGTCCTGAATGAGAATTCCAACAGGCCCGACAGAATTCTTTTCTTTGCTGTAGCCCTTTGGCTGAAGACAGAGCTTGGCTTGCAGGATCTAAGACAAGTGTTAGCATCTCACAATGTTGGAGGCCGCAGGAGTGGTGCGCAACCAGTCGGGCTATATCGCCAACAGTGGAAATAAGGACCATGGCCCACTGGACTTCACTGGCCGTATTGCAAGCGGCCTGCGGGCGGATTTGAAGCGTCGGGCACCCTTCTTTGCAAGTGATTGGACCGATGCCTTCACGGCAGAAAACGTGCAACAGTCGCTCTCAACAATCCTTTACCTCTTCATTGCGGCTTTGGCTGCAGCCATCACATGTGGAGTTTGGAGTGCTGGAGATGATCATGTCAACGGCCATCAGTGGTGTTCTTTTGCAACGTTCTCAGGGCAGCCACTGTCCATTCTTGGGGCAGCCGGCCCCTTCTTGGAATACACTCTTGCGGTCAATGATCTGTCGGAGGCCTTTGATCTTGAGTTCATGCCGTTTTACTTCTGGACTGGCATGTGTGTTCGGTCTTCACAGTTCTGTTGGCTTTGTTCAACCTTTGTGCGCTGATGAAGCATGTGACAATGTTCCCTGTCCTCAAAGCGCCCTCTTGGCCCGTTTAGGTTGGTCCCAAGACGGGGTGATTTCTCCCGTGCTTTCTCAATCGCAGCCATTCACGAAAGGGCTGCCAAGAATAGAAGAAAACGCTCTCGTCCGCCGGACGACGGGGGTGAGGAGGGGCCGTCCGCCTAGGACGTGCGCGCTTGTCTCGTCCGTCTCCTCCTTTTGGGCACCTACTGCGAGGTACGGTGGTGCCTCGCATTTGAGTTCAGCGAAGACATTTTTGCTGGCCTCATTCTCTGATTTTCATCATTGATGGTGCGAGGCCTATCATCAACAACTTTGCTGACGGTGTCATGCCACTGGCAAATTGCATGCTGGAGGCATTGTTGTTCATCTACGCCTTCGGACTGGCAACCTCATTGTCCGGGATGCGGAGAACACCTTGGATGCTGCGACCGGCTCGGAACTTGCTGGCAAACTTTTCTGTGACAATCTCTCTTGTTTCAGCTTCCGCCTTGACATCAATCTGGGCCAGTGATTTATCTCTCCGGATGCTGTTTGTGGACTGGCATCTGGCGAGAAGCGCCCATGGATCATCAATCCCAATGGTATCGACCTGCCCTTCCCTGCCTGGGGCATTGCTTTTGCAATCATTCCAGCGATTGGCTTCACAGTCTTGGGATATTCGGACCAGAATCTGACCCTTCGGGGGGGAGGCCATCAGTGCTGGGTACTCCTGGTGCTGGCGGCGTGGACATAAATACCTCCGACGGCGCCAGCTTTGTCGTTAGTTCCTTGACAACTGGAGGTTCGATTCCTCTCTGAACACAGGAGTGAGTTGTGGGCAGCCTACGGGTTCAATTCCTGTTCTCCGCCGGCAGTGGGGGTTGCTTGGCCTGCGCTTTGATTCTGCTTCAAGATGGTCTGGCCCGATGGAACATAAGGGAGAAGTCCGGTGTACTTCGGCCACATTACCAGGTGTGATGGAGGGGAAGTGAGTGCGCGATCATTTCGTGCTTGCGCCCTCCTCCAGCTGAGAAGCTGTTTTTTTGACGTAGTGTTGTGCAGTTTGTACAGGCTTGCTGGGCTTGCTGACTTTGTTTAGCATGTTGATGATGTACAGGGCTTGATACCCTCGTTCGACTTGCTCGGCTTTGTGCTCGGGGCGACTTTGCTCAGATCCGTTTGTGAAGGCCTTCAGCTGTACCTTGGATCAACGCCGGTTTCGCGGAGGTGATGATGGGGGTGGTGGCCTTTTGGTTGGCGGTGGTCTTGTTTGCGGTGGCCTGGTTTACCGCTGTCGACGCCGGGCAGCTGCCTTGGCTTGGGTGCTTGGTCGGTCTTCACCTACACTTTATGGATGCGGGCGCTTGGCTGCGCCGCTGCGCGTCTGACTCATTTCCAGCTGTGCACTTACAAATTGTGATGATGATGGACCAAAATCTGACCAGTGTGATGGTGAACAACCTGAGGAAGGGCCCAGGATATTACTTGGATTTCTTTGTGCTCGGTGCCATGACCCTAACTTCTTGACCCACGGTTTCTGATCGGATTGGCTCTCTTTCTGGCGCTGGCGTTCTTGCCTCGCGCAGCTCTTCAGGGTGTCTTCTTCTACATGGGCATTGTGCCCCTCACTGGCAACAACCTGTTCGATCGTCTTTGGCTGTGGCTCATTTGGGAGCCAAAGAACTATCCTCAGTATAAGTACATCTAGAAGTTGCCGTTGAAGCGTGCGCGCCTCTACACCTTTGTTCAGCTAATTTGCCTGGGCGTTCTCTATGGCCTGAAGGCCATCAAAGAGACTTCAGTCGTGTGCCCCTCCTTCATGTCCCTGGCCATCATTCGCAAAGCTGTGAAGTATCTTCACACCTGAAGAACTCGACCTTCTGGGTTCCTACCCTGAAGACGATGACTTTGAGGAAGAAGTTCTTGGACTTGCGCCAGACTTGGAGAGGCTTGAGAAAAATGCGGAATCTCAAGGAGAAGGAAGAAAGACTGAGGAGGAGATCTGAGATGATCTGAGCTGAGCAGTTGTCGTGCCAAAGTGGCTTCGCGTTTGACTTAATGTCAAGAAACCAATCGAATTACTGGATGTCATTGGATTGTTTTGGGCAAGCATGGACACTGTGGCTTTTGAAACGCCTTTGTGGCCATGTGCCTTGTTGTGCCACTTTGGGCACGACATGTATTCTTTTGCGATTCGTTTTTGGCGCCGCGCCCGTAGCAGGCATCATGCAAGAGAATGTATTTAGTCAGACCACCATACTGCGCAATCGAAAAGACGGAGCATCGATGTTGTATTTTTGATATAACTCATTTTGTTAACCGTGAAGAAGATGTGTGGAAGTTTGGGATGGTTCAGAGGCTTATCAACAAGCGAGTCTCAAGTACCCGAGGTCTTGCTAGACTTGTGTCACTTTGAGTCTGACCAAGCTGGCTTTCCATGTTGATGGGCAAGGAGTTCCCACTTTCGCCAGCAGTGCTTGTGCGGCAGCCCTAACGCCGAGAAGACCTGAAAGCAGAGGCTTGGATGGTGGAATGATGCAGGTGAAAATCGGTTCTTCCGAGCACTGGAAGAGTGAAACCGCTTGGCACCAACAAACCACGCTGAGCTGGTAGACTGGTCATTCAGTTGTCGACGGTGACCACAAGGCCGTGGTTTCCTAGATGACAGTTTATTCTAGTCCAGAGGGGTTGCCGGTGATCACAAGTTATCACCACCTACTGCTTTCATAAATATTTTCAGTAAACTCATAAAATTGGGCAGGTGATGGCGGTGATGGGCTGGCTTTGCAGGCTTCATGAAGTCCACATTGTGCACAGTGCCATGGCATGGTGTTTGGATCAGCATCGGGCTCACTTTACCAAAGTAGTAGACCCAGCCTAGGGCTATCTACCATGTTAAATAACTCAGGTGAAAAGGGTTGCTTGAGACACTGTATTCCCGTATTGAAGGCATCGGAATGCAACTCAGCAGATGTAGACATTGTTGATGCAAAGGATCCCGAAGGAGTCAAAAGTCCACGAAAGGCTTACTTGCATTTTGATATTTCATATGTCAGGGTCAGAGCGTGAACTTGCTCGGTTCGGCTTTGCTAGAAGTCTCTGAATGCTATTGGATTCAAGATGTTTCAAGCGAGAAATGGCCCCTGACCCCTTCACCCCGCCCTCCATGATGGTCGAGGAGTGCTTTATGGATCAAGGTGGGCGCTTTTGCGCTCGCCAACGGGCAACCATCACAGGGACATGATAAAGTTTAGTCTTCACTTTGCATCCCTTCTAGGTGAAGACAACAGCAGGTGTCAGGGATGATCTCCATTGCAAATGTGTGAACTTCATTGGGCGTCACTTCTCATTTTTTCCTCTGAGCTTGGCAGGCACAGACCCTAAAATATAAAACATGTGCAAGATTCAAAGAACATGACAATATTCCCAACGTGTCCAACGAGCCACCAAATCTCGAATAGAGGTCCCCTCGTAGAACGATTTCGGGAACCTGAACAGACTTCACCGTCTTTGCCCTATTGTCGCAGTTTGAGAGTAGCTGTTTGATACGTTTCAGGTGGAAAGGTAAAACACCTGTCCCTTTTGATTGAAACAAAAAGCATCCTTTGCCCGATGTTCACGGCTGTGATACCCCCCACCCACAGATGCCTCAAAACCTCCAAGCTTCCCAGACCAAGGATTCCGGACAATTCCTGTGTCAACTTGAATCTGCGAGTGAATCTGAGTTTCTGCAACCCCCAAAGAGCACACAGCCATACAGTGCTTTCGTGGACTCCTTGCGCTTCGTTCGAAGAAACATCGATTCCGAACCGCCCATGTCGGAGCTTCCAGCCGATGCCGATGGCGATGGCTCGCTGGCGGCGCTGGAGGAAGAAGTCTTGCGGCGACTGCTGGAGCGAGCAGAGGTGCAGGCCGCAGTGAGCCTGGCGCGAGAAGGGAAAAGCCACGAGGCCTGGGTGTGGTGCGCTGACATGATGGGAGATTGGAGAGAGGAAAAGAGATGAAAACATGTAACCTCTGAAGATATGCCAGTACACCTTGGCTGTCATCTTCTCGTACTCAGTATTTGTTTTCTGCATTGCTAGGGGTTTTGTTAAGTAGAGAAACTTGCAGGGAAGAATAGGGGAAGCATGTGGGGAACGCTTCTGGCGAGAAGCAGAGACGCCAATCGGGAATCGTAGGCTCTGCGGGATGGCGGTTCGGCATAGTCCAGCTAGTTGGATCAATGCTTTAGGGTTCCAGAACATCATATTCCAAGGTCTGCATAAAACCACGAAGCCAGTCCATGAACAGTATTGGGCACAGTTGCGGTTCGACTTGAGTGTGTCTACTAATACACATCTACAAATTGCTATATATATAAATATATATAGTACATAACATTTTGTCACCCTCCAGACTTTCAGCCTGTGCCATCTGTGGAGGCCGTGAGCTCCTTGCTGGTGATTATTCAAGGTCTTTTGGCCGAGGCCAAACCCAAAGCTGTAGCCAAGCGTGTGCGCACACGGCCGCAGGCGCCACAGCCGATTGACGATGCGAGGATGTAGGAATCGGGAGCGGTTGGAAGGAGAGGTTACACCGTTTCTGAAACGAGGGTGGGATATTTGCCCACTTTCTAAATGGATTAACCGATACTGTAGCCATTCAAACCTATATGGCCAAAGTTGAACCATACGCACACAAACAAATGGTGTGTTTCCCTTTGTCCAGCCGGATTTGCATGTTGTGCGTTTTAAAAATGGATACTGTGACCCAAGGCCACTCCAAAAGTCAAGAGGGGAAAGGGTCACTGTCCTTGAAACGATTCCAAGATAGAGGCTCGCTCATTCACCTTTGCGTAACTCGTGATGCGAATCTGCCAGGAGGAAAAGGAGCAGCCAGAAACGGAGAAAGATGACAAGACTGGGGAGAAAGCAGAGGAGAAGAGGTCTGTACGCCCTCGAACTGATGAGTACTGGCTGGAGGAGTGAAAGGTCTCAAAAAGTCTGCACATGTTCTTCATCATCGTAAACCTTCCCAAATCACAAAAACAAACGACCTGCAATATGGAATGCATCAGACTGTGTTTGACACAATAAACTCGACCGCAGGAGTGCTCACGTACGGTTGAGGCTGACCGTTTGCGTACAGAAGAGCAAGCTCGCGCCAAGGCTCTTCGCGCAGAGCAAGCGAGCGTGAGTGCTGCGCCCGAGATCATCGATGTGGAGGTTGATGGCACTCCGCTCTTCTGGCGGGTGGATTTACCTGAGGTGCTGAAGGCGGGGATGGACATTGCCCTAGTGGAAAATGGCCTGTGATACTGAAATGGTGCGATGAACGCATAGGCATAGGCTCTGAATGGGTGAACAGTGCAAGGTCGGCAGTGCTCATATGTTTCCAGCATTCCCATGCAGCTTAAAGCTAGACCACACAATCTCCTTCGCGTGAAAGTGCTCGGGTCTCGAGTTGTTCATTTTGTGGAAGTCTTGATGGCTGGGGGAAGAGGAGACAACAGAAAAGCCCATCAAAGTTTCCGAGCACAATTTGCTCATATGAGCAAATTGTGTTCGCAGGAGAATCTTCTCATCTTGTGCAGCTGTTCGTTTTTGTATATAATTTCGTGGGAACAATGCATTTTCCCATATTCTCCCTAATGAAGTTGTATAACTTGCCAACCTTGCTTCAAGTTATTAGACACTTATCGGCCTTGTGGACCATGAGAAGGTCCTTTCCGAAGCAGGACAGCTCGTTGATAGCTATCAGTGGCTTTTGGTGAAGTCCTCGGACCTTGTAGGAGATCGGCCTTGCGTGCTGCACCTCAGGGAATGGTTCTTGTTGTCACTTTGTACAGTTCACACTTCATATGCCTTTTTGGTTGAAGAGGAAATCAGCAGTTTCCCAACAAGTTGCAACCGAAGCCACCCACCGAACACTTCGCGATGCGTCGCGACAAGCGTGTGAGTCACGTGACAAATGCCGTAAGGTCCTGTCGAAACGTGGGATTTTGCCCAGCAATTTCTTGCCAGTGGTGAAACCCCACGTGACCTTGCTCTACCTCGGCGGGGATTTGTCCGAGCCAAAAGCGGCGCAACGTGCGGAGATGTCGGTGGAGGACTTCCGAAAAGCGAAAAAGACGCTGGAGAACTTGAAGGGAAGAGCCCCGGTATGACGTGAACTCTTTTTGGTTTTACATTCAGCCTCCCCCAAGATTTGTTGTTGAACGTTTTGGAACCACATGACTGCCGTGATGGGGTCTTCTCAACTGCAGACAGAAGTTGTTCACACTACTCTTTGGGTAAAAGCGCCCATGGTCAAACTCCATCGTTGTTGGAAGCTTTGGGTGATCGTCTGGTGTTTGGGTCCAAGGACAGGTTGCAATTCGGATGACTGAGATCGTCATTGAGGAGAATGTGGCTTGTGCCTTGGTTCAGCTCCCGGAAGGAATCCCATGTGGCAGTAAAGTGCCGCACTTGACCTTGGGAACCAGGCGGGGAGAAGATCCACACCAGACGATACTTGAGGCAACTCAGTATGGTTCTTCGAGCTCTTGGGTACGCAACGGACCCGCTTCTGTTTCTCACATCTCACAAATATCCGGCTTTGCTCACTTGCTCAACACACTGTACCAATGGAAGTGCACCAATCATCACCCGATCGCTCCCATTGCTATTAGCTTGGAGGCCGCATGCGCCCAATTTCAACGTCGCCAGGCAAGGCGTCCCCGCACGGCACGCCAATGACCTGTTGGAAGAGATTGCCTTGGGCCGCACGTCGGGCATCACCCGAATGAAGCTGCCCAAGCCCAAGGAGCGAAAACCGCCCGGGCGTGGAGGGCAGGTTGGGCTTTGGCCTCCTTTCTTCCGGAAGATGGGGGTTTGCTGAAGATGTACTGTACTGATTGAGGGAGTTTGACTGGGTTCAACACGTTGGGAAGTTAGGATGGAACCATACATCATATCACTTAGTGCCTGCGTTGGCCTCTTTATATAAATGGCCGTTCTGTATGTTGAAACTAGCTTTGCTTAGCTCTTGGGAATAGCGTCCTTATTTCTTGCAGATGTTTTCTATATATGTATTTTGCAAATGGCATCCTTTGACTCAAAGCCTGACTACAGCTACCTGTGCAATATGTTTGCAAATAGTTTCAAGCCCTTCCCCAGATAAAGAGGGAGACCCAGTCAGTAATATCACTCATACCATCATTTCATCCATCATCTCACATAATCACATCTCTCAAAACCTCGACCAGAGACCTAGACCTGGGACGTGCGGGGGGGGACCGTTCGACCTGGACGGATAGAACGTGACAGAACCAGACTCAGCAACTCTGCTCGATTCGGCAACTGCGATTCCGCAACTGCGCGATTCTGCAACTTCTCCTTGCCGATCCAGGCACTTTCTGTGCGATATATCATGCCTCAGAACGGGTGGGTCAGTTGCATTCGTTCGTCTTGAAAGAGGGGAGCTCTACCGGGGTTTGCTTAGTATCGAGAGAATAGAATCAATTTGCAGTGCGGGGTGGGGGGATGTCCTTGTGTTGAAGGAGAAGAGAATCACCCAGGTTTGCTAAGGATGGGCAGGGTAAACATTTTTTGGAGGCGGCGCAGAAGGAAACATGATAGGTTGTGTTATGATGTGCTGGGCATGGGGTGGGGTGCAGGGGAGGGGAGGTGGGGTCAGTGCAGTTGTGTTCCTTTGTGAAGGACTCGAGAATCCCAATTGCTTGGGATGTAGATGGATGTAGAGAGTAGAAATAAGTAAGAGGCGTTGATGGGTGGGAATGGTATAGGGGAGGTACGGTGTGCGGTTGCCTTCGTTTGTCTTGGTGGGTGTGCTAGACTTTGATCTGTTCCCCGATGTTTCCGAACCCGTTCCGCCATGGCAGCGTTTCCGACTTTTTTCCGCAGCCAAGCTTCGGTCTTCCGAATCCGCCCCGGGCGAATCCGGGCGAATCCGACTCCGACGTTGACCCGTGAGACCTTGGACCGTCGCAGGAGCTTCGTGGGACCTTGGACCTGGAAACCTCGGCGACCTATGCGGGGAGGACCTGAGTACCGAAAAAGGGAGATGCTGCGACGGCGCGGAGCAGAGCACGTGGCGGGGAAGGTCTACCAGGCTACCAATTTCAATAAATGGATCCTATAATTATAATATGCACATTAATATATATATTATATGCAAAACTGCGGACGGCGGCCTATTTCCTCACACCTAGGGGGGTGCTCGGGCACTAAAGGATCGGTGGATGGACCTCAATGTCGTGACATTTGCACGGGTCCCAAACTAGAAAATTAACAGTCTTTCCAGGAAGGGTCTGATACGAGTCCTTGTCTGTATGTTGTGCACGCGTGGTCCAAAGGGTTCAGTCCTTCGAGGCGTCGAACCTTCTCGGACTTGCCATCTCCCTCACAGGTAATGCGAAAACGAAAACCAAGGGTCGTGTACATCACTGCTTGGTGCTTCTCAGAGCACTTGGTGAGGCTGTTGGCGATCATAGCACCACCATGAACCCACATCAGCTTGGTGTTACACTCCTCGAGGTTGTCTCGCAGTGAGATTGCTTCAATGTCAGCCCTCTTCTCTGCTCCCTTGATCACCACTGTTGGTCGATGAACCTTGTCGTGCAGGTTTCTGGAGTCTGTAACTTGAAGTGCTGGTATGTACCTTGCAGCTTCATTTGGAAGGCGTGGATCAAGTGGTTGACCACACACTTCACTCCAAAGAACTCGTAGGTATAGGTCATCTCCTGCTTCAGTGTTGGCTAAGGTCTCTGCACAGGCTGGGCTCCGGCATACTCGCTCGATTTTTGAGCTTCTCCAGTGTATTGGTGAGATGTTTCTTTCCAAGCCCTTTGCTAGGCCCTCATCACTCATTCCAGTAAACACACCAGCTGTTGAGTCCTTGCCGTTTGGCCTGTTGGCCCATGCTGCGTCAGCCCATGCCACCATGTAAAGCTGTGCTTCTTTGTCAAAACTGTGGATTTTGTATTCTTGATGTTTCCACTTCTTCACAGATCTAACCAATGCGTTCGTTTTGTTGATGGTTTCCACTGTGGCAACTGGAATCTCTGAAATCAAGAAATTTGTATCCACGGAAAACAAAAAGCAGGTTTGCCCACATAGCCATGGAATGCTGCCCAAAACACATCTCAAACAGCTTTTCTCTGAGTCTGTTGCCGCTAATTGTGGTTGTCGTGCACGATCACGATTGATGTGGATTTCCTCAATCTCTTCAATGAACCGTTGTTGGTTGAGAGTGATGCTGAAGTCGTCATGTTGGGTCACCAGAATACCACACTGTTCGAATTCTTGTTCTTCCCAAGTTCCCCAAAAAAGGACTTCGGGAGTGCTTCCATCAACCTTTTGTGAACTGGGTTGTCTTTGTGGCCTCCAAAAACAAAGTCATCCACATGGCCATGTATGATAGATTGCACTTCTTGTTGTTCATCCACATAAACCCAACAACATGGTTCCGTGATCAACCGACGATACCCCAATCCTTCCATGGTTGTGCAGACGGAACGGTACCATTGTAGCGGGGCTTGAACTAAGCCGTATGCTGCTTTTGTTAACAGCATGGGGGTGTCGTCCGCCACCCCCATTTCCAGGCAAATTTCTTTGACAGGCCCACCATGCCCGGTCAGCATCCTGCCAACCTCCTTCATCATCTTCATCCTCCCGTAGGAGTCCATTGTCCATGAATGGGGTCCCCACATTGTGCTGGCCGTGTAGCGGGCGATGGGCCACCTGGTGACCTTCGCTCTTCACACTGCCACCATGTTCACTGCCAATGGTTGGGGTACCATGACCCCGGTTTGGACTGAGCTCCGAATTCCTTTTGGACCTTGCGAAGGCTCTGCGATGCCTACAAAGAGCTTCCGAGTGCCTCGTATAATCCAGCTCGTCATCGTCTCCTATCGTGGCCTCAACAGAGTGTACACCCCCCTAGGATGGGAGACCCACTGGGGATCTCTCAGGGTCATGGTGCGCACCGACATCCTGGCGGTGCCTTCCAATTCCTTCAGCAACCTCGGTCCAGCTAGGTATCGCTTCCTATGCTCGAAGGTCATGAGGAATTGCACTGCCTCCTCCCTAATACAAACTCATCAACTCCGGTGTGCCATCGAACTTTGGCACACCATCGTGGGTCCGTTGGATCCCACGCTCGGCCATGTGCCCAAGGGCTCAAGCCGAACCTCAACGAAAAAGAAACCAGGCTCCGGCTGCCATGCAAAACTGCGGACGGCGGCCTATTTCCTCACACCTAGGGGGGGTGCTCGGGCACTAAAGGATCGGTGGATGGACCTCAATGTCG